CTTGTGACCCCCGAGGGTTGCGTAATTGGCTTTTGTCTTGGGTCTCCTTCCTAGGTCCTGCTGTTGCGGTGTGGGACAGGAAGGCGTGGCTCATAACTTAGGAGTTAACTAGGAGTATGAAAAAATAGCAGGGCAGATCCCACCCGCCTCCCCCTTACTCTTGATTCCTGATTTTTCCCTGTTTTTTTTTTTTCTTTTTTGAGACTGTCTTGCTCTGTCGCCCAGGGTGGCATGCGATGGCGTCATCTCGGCTCACTGCAACCTCTGCCTTCTGGGCTCAACCGATTCTCATGCCTCAGCCTCCCAAGTAGGTGGGATTACAGGCGTGTGCCACCATGCCCAGCTAATTTTTGTATTTTTAGTAGAGACGGGGGTTTCACCATGTTGGTCAGGCTGGTCTCGAACTCCTGACCTCAGGTGATCCACCTGCCTCAGCCTCCCAAAGTGCTGGGATTACAGGCGTTGAGGCACGACACCCGACCTGTCAATTGCCTCCTTTCTAGTCCTAGTTCGGCGGGTAACCTCAGCTACCAACTTCAGTTAGTTGAGGGCTCCCCAGACTGTGCAAGCTCCAAGCACTGACTCAGAATAACCAGGCTGCAGGTGGCATGCAGTTCAGCCTGCTAGGATTTGTGCTTGTGCATCCCAGAGCATCCCCGGCTAACTGTATATTGTGTAAGATAAGAAATACAAAGCATGCAGCACAGTACTTAGCCTGCTGTGGTTGGCATTTAGTGAATGTTAACTTTCCTTCCCTTAATCTCATTCCCTCAACTAGCAAAAGGAAGTGGGGGGAATGCTGTGTCTTTTCCTTGAGACTCAGGCACTTGGGATCCCAAGCACAGCAGGAGGATCTCTTGAGACACAAAAAAGAACCCCTTGCTGGGCGCGGTGGCTCACAACTGTAATCCCAGCACTTTGGGAGAGCAAGGTGAGGGGATCTCTTGAGCCCAGGAGTTTGAAACCAGCTTGGGCAACATGGCGAAACCCAGTCTGTACAAAAAACACAAACATTTTCCAAGATGGTGGCTCATGCCTGTAGTCCCAGCTACTAGGAAGGCTGAGGTGAGAGCATCACTTGAGCCCGGGAGGTCGAGGCTGCAGTGAGCTGAGATTGCAACACAGCACTCCAGCCTGGGCAACAGAGTGAGACTCTGTCTCAAAAACAAAAACAAAACCCCTTAAACTCTAGTAGAATGGAGGCTTACTGGCTCTTCCCTTAGGAGAGCAGTGGCTGTGGGAGGGGGAACAGTGGGGAGGGTAGAGAAGGCTCAGTGAAAAACCAGCAAGCAGGGAGAACTGAACCACTGCAGGCTCCCCCACTTTTGTTTTTCTCCCTTTCAGATTAATCAGATTTTTTTTTCAGCTTGGAATAAAGGTCTCCCCAGACACACCTTTGCCCTGTTTATAAATGGGATTCAGGTCTCTTTGATATATAATCTCTAGCACCACTGAGTAAATAGTCCTGTGTCTGCCCAACCTGCAGGCCGCTCCCCAAAGCAGAGCTGGGGATTCTCTGAGGAGGGGCTGGGCGCGCCTCTGCTGTGGGGAGACGGCTTCATGTTGGGGCAGGGCCGCAGGCAGGGAAGGCTGTCCTCTACCATGGGAATGTGTAAGAGCCATGTTTTGTTGCGCATGTTCCTGCTCCCTGGGACTGAGTCTGGCCGTGGGAAGTCAAGGCAGAGATGGTGATGCCCCTTCCCCATGGAGCCGTGTTGCCAACAGAGGCCAGCTGCTCCCTGTGTTGTGCGGCAGGAGAGGCTGATGGCTGCTAGCTCTGACTTACCGAGGGCTTGGTTGATTCCATGGTGCTTTGAGAGAGCCATGAGGAACCCATAGAAGGTCAGTCTCTGAACGTTGCTGAGGGCCTCTTTGACAAGTGCTGGGGGTGGGCAGCTAAGAAGGAGAGACGCCACATTCAGAGCCTAGCCAGCCTCAGAGACATCTCTGCATCCATACTTTCAAGTTCATGAGGATACCCACAGCCAAGCCAGGGACCTGCCTTGGGAGCCCCAAGGCCCTGGGGGATCCAGCCCTTCACTGTGGTCAGGAGGGGCTGGCATGTTCACTAACTGGTGCTTTCACCGGAGTGGGGAGCGGCGGTGGGAAATGGCTAGGGAAACCAAATCCGTTGCTCGGTCCCTAAGGATACTTGTGCCACACAGGACAGCTTACCCCTCTCTTTGTGTAGAAAAGTTTTATACAAGGAGTACTCTTTCTTTCTCTCTAAAATGTTAAAGCCAGTCTGTCAGCCAGTAAATTGGTCATCTACAGTGGTCTTGCCCAAGGGAAAGCGGTCCTTTTGAAGTGAGCCATCTGGGAGCCTTTCAGTCAACAACTGGTTTGGGGGCAAATGGCACTGTTACATTATGACCAGCAAGGGTCCTAGAATCCCTGGGCCTGGCAGAACATCCTGCAGAGCTCTGCTCCACAGCCAGCAGTCTGAGCTCCCTGGGGCTGGGGGGCTGGGGAGCTGGGGGCTGCATGCCCATTCCTCACCTGTACTTGTGCCGATCACACAGGTTTTCCAGACACTGGTAGAACAGCGACGCCTCCACGCCCTCCAGCATGCCGGCCTCGCCCAAGGCAGGTCGTTGGCGGTGCTGCCCACTGGATGACGTCGGCACGATCACTGTGTTGGGGTTCTTGCCCGACAGCAGATCCTCATAGATGGCAGCCACACTGTCCAGGAATTCTGGAACCATGGGGCGGGGGTGGGGGTGGACAGCTCAGGCAGGGAGGACATGTTTTGTCTCTTCACTATGTTCTCCCTTCTCTGTCAGCCCAGTTCCACACCAGCCTCAGTGCTCAGGGCATGGTATCCTGAGAGCAGAAGTTGTCAACCTTGTTTGCCAGCACAGTGATGAGAGATGACACTAATCTGTGTTTTCGCTCAAATGTCCCATCCCTCATTTGTTCCTGGACTAGGTGAGACCTGCCATTGCACACTTTCATAGCACCCTAGGCTTTTTTTCTGGCACTTAGCCAGTGAGGAGCTTTCTGTGTCATTAATTGTCTGTCTCCTTGCTGGAATGCACAAAGGCAGGGGTCATGCCTGGTTGGCCTGTCCTGCCTAGCACTGTGCTTGGCACACATTAAGGCCATAAATATTTTTTGGAGGAGTGAACATGAGTATGCTCCCACTGGTAAGCCCCATCTTGTGTGGCCACCTGCCTCTCTACCTCAAGAAAGCGTGTTGGAATACCAGCGAGGAACAGAGAAAGCCCGCAAGCTGCTGCTGAGTCAGTCATTTGAAATGGTTTTCAAAGTTGTAGTTGAGCCATTGTTAGAACTGCTGACTTATTGGCCCATCTCATCTCTAACACGCACTGCTGGGCAGTGTCAGTAATGCTCCTGGCCCAATGTGGTAGCTGTCCCATCCCTCTGGGGGTGCTGTGAGAAGAGGGCTGGGGAGGCATTGAGGGGAAAATGTTCTCCCAGACATGGCTGCTCCTTCTCTAGGGCCCAAGAGCTTCGGAGAAATGGGAAATGACTCCCATTTTTTGCCACCTGCTAAGAGCAGGTGGCAAGACCCCAGGCTCCAGCCCCTGCCTGCACAGCCCTTGGGCTGCCATGAAGTAAACAGAATGTGGCGCCCAAGTGAGGCTAGGGCTAGCTGGGGACACCAGTTGGCAGGAAGGCCACCTCTAGGATGTAAGGACAGCCTTCTATTTACTGGAAGAGCCTGTTTTAAGCAAGTTTGTTTATGAACACAGTCAGCAATTTGTAAACCCAGCACTCCATTTGATGTCTCTGTGTGTGAGCTGGTGTATAGTTATATTTATTTGTCTATATTTATTCCATCTGATTCCAGAGAGACTTAAGGGTGCAGCTGGCTGAACTGGGGAGCAGAGTGGGAGTGTGACAAAAGACTGGTGTGTACTTTTTTAAAGCTGTGGGGTGGAGGAGAATGTGCACGCAAACACACGATCGGTTGCCAAAGGAGAGACCCTTGAAGGCAGTAAAATAGCAGCGAGGTTGGGAACACTGGCTCTGGAGTCAGCCTCCAGGTCTGGTTTCCACCGCTTATGAGCTGCATGACTGGCTACTTACTTCTGTGAGCTTGTCTCTGAAAGGACCCTCTCTTAAGGCTGTTGTCAAGATTAAAGTCAGTGCTGTGCCTGCGACAGTAAGTTTTCAGTAAGCAGTGAATGCTGTGGATGTTGTTATTGTCATCATCACTTAAACTGATTTGTTGCGTTGCTGACTGAAAGCACTGTGGTTTTCAGCGTCTTCAGGAGGCTGAGGAAGTCAGCTCTACAGACTGAATCTTGTGACCACCACTGAACGCTAGACATCCTGTTAGTGACCCGCAATGAAGCACACCCCCAAAGGAGGTGGGGAAGAGAAACGTGTGCCAGACACACAGATGGGCAGGGCCGCAGGGCGGGACAAGGAGGCAGGGTCCTGTGCGGAGCCAGATGGAGCCCGGGAACACTCACCTGAGTAGTAAAACTGGATCTGGAAGGCAAAGAGGAAATCTGAAAAAGACATCAAGCAGTCCATGGCGTCGTCCATGAGCACAATCCTGAAGGGGAAAGAGAGAATCTGAGAGAGAGAACTGCGGGAGGTTTAAGGAGGGGCGGGGCAGGTTTAAGGAGGGGAGGGAGAGAGGGGGAGGGAGGAAGGGAAAAGTGCGGGGTGCGGGGGAAGGGAGAGAGAGAGAGCTGTTCCTGGGCCGCCAGTCTCCCCTGGGGCAGCAGGACTTTTAGGAGAGGGCTCCCAAAAGCAAGCTCCTCCCAGTCACCTCACCGCTCCATCAACTGGACTCTGCCATCAAACTGAACTGACCACACTGTACCCAGAGTGGGCTCCCGGTTCAGTCTCAGTGGCACCAGCTAGCGGATGGAGCATGGGCAGGGGGTGGCGAGGAGAGGGTGCAACTGTAATGCAGCCAAGGTTTCTTTTCATATACTTAAGCAGTAAATCCTTTCATTCTGCTGTGAGGACCATTTAGTTCAGAATAAATACAGCTGATCAGAAAAGGCAAAAAGAACAGCCAAGGGGTTTAAAGGGTCTTGGCAAGTGGTACTGAGATTTAATAAGCTACCAAAGGGCCAGAACAGCGACAGACACCTCCACCCTGAGACACAGATGGCAGACAAGGGGAGAGGGCAAAGAGCTATTCGGGAATCTGCACTTGTGAGGGTCAAAACCCACACTCATCTTGTGCTGCCGCCCTGCTCCTCCTTGCTGTCCACATTCACAGGTTGCCCACCCCACAGTTTTCCTGTCTCTAGTCCCTCCCACTGAGGACCCACCTCACAGGAAGAAAACCATCTGACTCGTAAAGGGATTAGACCAAGGCTATGTTCGTCCTCTGCTCAGCGCCTCATCTGAGCCGGGACAAGAAGAGAAGGAAATGAGCGCTTGCTGGGCTCTATCACATGCCAGGCAGGCGCCAAGCCATCCACTGGGGTGGGGCGGGCCCCCAGTCTGTTTCTGATCAGGCCCTTCTGGCTTTATCTTTCTTTCTTTTTTTTTAATTGTTTTTGGCCGGGTGCGGTGGCTCATGCCTGTAATCCTAGCACTTTGGGAGGTCGAGGTGGGTGAATCATCTGAAGTCAGGAGTGTAAGACCAGCCTGGCCAACACGGTGAAACCCCACTTCTACTAAAAATACAAAAATTAGCTGGGCGTGGCGGCACGTGCCTGTAGCCCCAGCTACTCGGGAGGCTGAGGCAGGAGAAGTGCTTGAATCTGGGAGGCAGAGGTTGCAGTGAGCCGAGATTGCACCACTGCAGTCCAGCTCGGGAGACAGAGACCCTGTCAAGAAAAAAAAAAATTGTTTTCTTTTGCTCTCTCTTATATTTCTCTAAATCTCTCTCCACTTCCCTGAGTCAGAGGTTCCCTAGACTGGCAACTGGATCAGCCCCAGAGAAAGCCAGGATTGCTCACTGCTGGGGAAGGGGCTCCACAGAAACTGCGATATTGTGGTGCCACTCCCCTTGCTGCCATCTCCCTGAAGAGAGACAGCGGTTCCTGCCTAGTCTTTATTGTAATACGGATAACAATAGAAGCAGGTACCATTTCCTGAGTTTTTAATTGTTTTTAAACCCTACGTACCGCATGGCAGGCTATTGAAGTATGTAACCGCATTCGTTAAATTTTAGCCCACAACAATCCTACAGGTGGGTCTTATATTTCCATTCTACACGTGAAGAGTCTGAGGCTCAGAGGTCAGCCTGCCAAAGTCACACACACAGCTGGGGAGCTTGCTGGACTCCACAGGCCACGCATCTTCCATGAGGCCACACTACCTCTTTGAAAATAAAGCTACAGAGCAAAAACACTAACATTTTACCTCCTAGTTTCTGTGGCTGATTTATTTTCTTTCTTGTTACTGATATGTTAGGCATCTCCTGGGGAAACGACAGCTGCCTCCACCATCAGAGTTTAACACTAGAATTCCAGCTGGAAAAAATTCAAGACTGGAGGGCGGGAAGAAGCAGTGCTGCTGAGGGCCACAAGAGAGTGCCCTGGTCCCTCCATCAGTAGTTCACGGGACTAAGTGCACTGCCAAAGGCCAAGTGGTTACCCCATCTTTCATAACCCAAGGAAAACCCAGGCAGCAAAACCGCTCCTTCCCCACCCAGATGGCAGAATCTGTTTTGACAACTGGATTGCGGGAGCAGGGAGACGGCAGAGGGCGGGCAGTTAGAGAGGACTGGCGTTAGCAAAGACCCCCAAACTGCAGAGGAAGAGTGAGCTCTCCCAGGAGCGCTCAGGGAGCGAGAGCCACCGGCACCTCAAAGCTTTTCCTTGGCAGGCTCAGCAGGGCAGACAAAGGCTCTGGACATGAGAAGTCACTGACTTTCCCTTCCTGCCCTGCTCTCAGGACAGCTGGAGCCCCAACAGTCTAAAGTGAATTACAACAGAACAGCACTGGGCTGTGAATATCCCCAAGCAGGAAACCACCAAGGAGCCCAAGCCTGTCCCCATGTTCCATGGCTTCCGTTGATCATCAATTGGAACACAGTGCTCCCATAGCAGCAACTTCCACTTACTATTTATTTACATTGCGATATAATGAAGCACCATAAAAGTCACCCTTTAAAAGTGTACAATTCAGTTTTTTAGTATATTCACATAGTAGCATCACTGTCACCACTGTCTAATTGCAGAAGTTACCTCCACTTGCAATTCTCACCAACAGGCCCATTCCGGAGCCTGCCTCGGAGCAGAAGCTTGAGCTCATACTTCCCAAAGGGCTTCACAGCCTCGTGGAAGCCTTAATGCTGAGTGCCATGAGCATCTTCCTCTTTCAGCCACAGATGGGACTAGAAGCTGTAAACAGGGCACACCCTTCCAGCCTCAGAAGTGGTCTGCAGCTTTCTGCTAGGGGCCATCTTGACCTCGAACATCAGCAGTCCCTTTGGAGATGGGCTGTTGCAGAAGAGGGGGTGCACACCATGGGAGGGCAGGGGTGTCTGTTGGAGCAGGGCAGCCCTGCAGGTGCCCTGTAATACGGGTAACAATAGAGGCAGATACCTTTTTGTTTTTAATCTTGCTCTGTTGCCCAGGCTGGAGTGCAGTGGCACAGATTGGCTCACTGCAACCTCCGCCTCCTAGGTTCAGGTGATTCTTCTGCCTCAGCCTCCCTAGCAGCTGGGATTACAGGTGCCTGTCACCATGCGTGGCTAATTTTTGTATTTTTAGTAGAGACGGGGTTTCATCATGTTGGCCAGGCTGGTCTCGAACTCCTGACCTCAAGTGATCTGCCCGTAGAGGCAGGTACCTTTCCTGAGTACCCCACCTCATGGCAGGCTATTAAGGCATTTGACTACATTAATTAAATTTTATCCTACAGCAGTCCTATGGGTGGGTCTTATTGTTATTTCCATTCTACAGGTGAAGAGTCTGAGGCTCAGAGACTGGGGAGCTGAAACATGCCGAGCAGGAGGAAGTAGGGGGTGAGTGAAGGGGGGGCAGACAGAGGTGAGGGCTTTCTTTCTGAGGGACATGTGGCTGGATCATAGCAGCACATGTATAAAGGACTGAGGGTTTTTTTTAATTGCAAGCAGTAAGACTGGCTACCTTTTAAAAAGCCAACTGGATCTGAGCTTGTGTTAACAGCAACACCGGCTGTGACTCTCCTCAACCAGAAACGTGGGGCATCCTAGACATCTTGGAGACTCCGCCCACCCCACCCCAAGCCAATCAACCATTCACCAACTCCTATCAATGCTATTGCTGAAATTTCTCTTGAATCCATCTACTTTCCACATCCACAGCCACCATCCTATCCCCAGCCTCCCCCTCTCTTTTCTTGATGATGGCATGACCTCCTACCCAGTTTCCCTGCAACTACTCTTGCTTGCTTTTTTTTTTTGAGACGGAGTCTCACTCTGTCACCAGGCTGAAGTGCAGTGGCTCGATCTAGGCTCACTGCAACCTCCGCCTCCTGGGTTCAAGCGATCCTCCTGCCTCAGCCTCCCAAGTAGCTGGGACTACAGGCACGCGCCACCATGTCCAGCTAAGTTTTGTATTTTAGTAGAGATGGGGTTTCACCATGTTGGCCAGGATGGTCTTGATCTCTTGACCTCATGATCTGCCCGCCTGGGCCTCCCAAAGTGTTGGGATTACAGGTGTGAGCCTTCTTCTAATTGAGTATCCATATTGTGGTCAGAAAGATTTTCCTAAAATGTGAATGTGGCCACTTTACCATTGTGTGGGAAACCCTTCACAGAGGCTGGGCACAGTGGCTCATGCCTGTAATCCCAGCTACTCGAGAAGCTGAGGCTGAAGAATCACTTGAACTTGGGAGGTGGCCATGTCAGTGAGCCAACATTGCGCCACTGAACTCCAGCCTGGATGACAGAGCGAGACTCCGTGTTAATAACAACAACAACAACAAAAACAAACAAACAAAAAAAACCTTCACAGTCTTCCCATTGCCCTTAGGACATGGTCCCCCATTTGGATCTGGCCTGTGAGCCCACTCCATCTGCCCCCTGCCTCCCTCGACTCCCCCACTGCATTCTGGCCACACTAGTCTTTCCGTCCTCCCTGAAGCTGTCCTTACTCATGCCCTCCAGACAAGTCTGTCCCTCTAGCCATAATGCTCCCTGCCCTCCATGCCTCCTCCTCACCTACCAGATATCTCCATATTCTTCAGGCTGAAGCCTCCACAGCACCTCTTGGGGAAGATGACAGAGGAAAGCACTTTTTCTAACCCAGCCTAGAATAGGCCCCCCTGCTACTGGTTTCTGCAGTTCTCAGCAGCCTCCTCACACTGTTGTCTTTGTCCTGGGAACATAAGATCTACCAAGTGATGCCTCTGTCTCCCTACCTGTGGCTTGACTCTGGTATGGTGCCTGGCACATAGCAGGCACTCAGTGAATGTCTGTTGAATGAAGAAATGCATGAACAAATGAGTGAGAGAAGCCACGGTCCCCTTTTCCTCTGGCCAGGTGACACCTGGAGTAGTTTCTTAATCCCTCTCATAAAGATACTTAGTGAGAATCCTTATGGAGAATGCAGATATTCAGAGGGATTAAGAAACTTGGTGAAGGTTACAAGCTAGGAACGAAAGAGCTATCATTCAAATACTAATACTTTCAATGTCTGGACAGTCTATTTAAGGGGAGTAAACTAGAGTCCCGGAGAAGAGGGTCAGCCTGGTGGACAGTCTAAAAACCATGATACTGGACAAATGACTGCATTTAGATCTTTTTGCTTAGAAGCGAAGACTAGGGAGGAAGTGAGGGCTGAGACCCAACTCTCAAAGGACTGCCTCTTGGGGAGATACCACGGGGATCTAGAGTTTGGCTCTAGAGATGTTTTCAAGCTGCGTAGTTCTAGGATTGTGGCTGATTTGTAAAGGAATGAGATGTGTATTGCCAGAAATGTTCAAGCAGAAGCTTGAAGGCTCATACTTCCCAAAGGGCTTCTTCCAGCTCCGACAGTGTTGTCCCAAGGGTGGACAGAACTAACAGCTCCTCCTGTTAGTGCTAAATCTAGTGGGGCGAGAGTTTGAAGTTCAGAGGTCTATGGCTGCAGAAGACTTACTGAAAGGTACATTTAATCACACCATATGCTGTGCTGTCCATCTCCAAATGAATGCTGAGACCCATGAAAGTTCTAGGCATCTGTGTCTTTTTTATTTATTTATTTATTTTTTTTGAGACGGAGTCTCGCTCTGTCGCCCAGACTGGAGTCTGCCCAGACTGGAGTGCAGTGGCCGGATCTCAGCTCACTGCAAGCTCCGCCTCCCGGGTTCACGCCATTCTCCTGCCTCAGCCTCCGGAATAGCTGGGACTACAGACGCCCGCCACCTCGCCCGGCTAGTTTTTTGTATTTTTTAGTAGAGAAGGGGTTTCACTGTGTTAGCCAGGATGGTCTCAATCTTCTGACCTCGTGATCCGCCCGTCTCGGCCTCCCAAAGTGCTGGGATTACAGGCTTGAGCCACCGCACCCGGCCGCATCTGTGTCTTTAACCCGCCTATGGGATCTTTCTAGCTGTGGGCATCTGCATCTAGCTTTGGAATCTCAGCAGAACTGTGGGAGAAGGCAGGCAGGAAGCTCCTGGTCTGTCTTTACCTCTTTGCCTTTGCCTGCAACCCTTTTATCCCCACAGACAGCTCCTTCATTCTGAACTCAAGCTCGATGCCACTCCCAGAGGGCTCTGGAAAGAATCTTGTTGGAGACGAGGTCATCCCCATGTGCTGTTTTCCAGTTGCTGGCAGTTGGCTCAACACCCCTTCCTGCCAGAGGCCTTCTGCTAACGTGCCAGCTGCTTCTGACACCTGGAGGTGCCTGGCCGCCCCTGCTTTGAAGTGGAGCCAACAGGGAGCTGCTGCCAGTGACAGTCTGCACAGATCTATTGGATCATGGAGGGACCCTTGTGGGCCATGCCTCGGGGCTAGAGAGAGGGACTCTGGGGGAGAAGTAGAGACACTTTGGTTCAGGCTGTCCGGAGCAGAACCATGTGTGGGGTAGAGCCTAGGACAGGCAACTGGAGTGGAGAAAGAGCACATGGCTGGTCTGCGACTGGCCACTTTCTCCCTCCCCTGCTGACTTCCAGCAGCTGGGATAGGCAGTCTGGCTGGGAGTTGTAAGGGTGCCAAGTAAGCAACAGCTTCCAGCCTGAACCTACTGACTTGCCAACTTCCTATTCACCCCTAATTAGGGTCAGTTTCCCTGGTCTAGTGGCATGGGCTGCACCCATTTTCCTGAAGTTCTGGATTAGTTGACCCCAGGATTAAGTCCCAGTTCCACCATTCACTGGCCAAGTGACTGTTTCCCTCTGAGCCTCAGTTTCCTCATCTGTGAAGAGGATACAATCATAGTTCCTGTTTCCCAGGATTCTTGTAGAGAGTCAGCGTGATGATGTTATATATGCTAGTGTCTAACAGGCACTCAGAATGAGCTCCAGATGTAATCAGTAAGTATATTCTATCTGGTTTAAACTGTGGGAGAGCCCCAAAGAGCAAATAAAAATAGAGCCCAGAGAAAGTGTGTGCTGCCATCATCCACCAGGCAGAGGTCTCAGGCGGAAGCCAGCGATCAGTTTCCGGTTTACTTTTGGGGGAAACCAGCCCTCAGCCAGGGCCAGAAAGAAAAGCCACTTTCCGGCCAGGCGCGTTGGCTCACGTCTGTAATCCCAGCACTTTGGGAGGCCGAGGCGGGCGGATCACAAGGTCAGGAGATCGAGACCATCCTGGCTAACACTGTCCTCTGAGAACATGCACCTAGCTCTGGCACAGTGACCCGCGCCCGTCTCGGCCTCACACCCAACAGTGCCTGATTCACAAACAGTGCTTTGACCCACCTGCGCCGGCCGGAACAGCCTTTTCTATACCCAGCTAGATAGGCTCCTGTTACATCACCTGTCTGCCACTCGCCTACAGCAGTTCTCAGCAGTCGTAAGCGTACACACCTGTTCGTCTATTGTCCTGGGAACATAAGATTCTACACTTACCAAGTGATGCCTCTGTCTCCCTACCTGTGGCTCTGACTCTGGTATGGTGGCCTGCACATAGCAGCACTCAGTGAATGGTCCTGTTGAATTGAAGAAACTCAGAAGCAAATGAGTGCGGAGAGAAGCCACGGTCCCCTCTCTCTGATACTTCCGTGAACCAGCGTGACCCCACCTGGAGTAGTTTCTAATCCCCACTCTACTCTACCGTACTTAGTGAGAATCCTTCATAGCGAGATAACTGCACTATAAATCAAAGTGACTATAAGAAACTTGGTGAAGGTTTAACAAGCTAGCACGAAAGAGTATCATTGCAAATACTAATACTTTCATGTCTGGACAAAACATCTTTTACACCAGGGAGAATCACACGAGCAGCAGTCCCTTTGGGTACGAATGGGTCCAGCCTGGTGGGAACAGTCTAAACTAACCATGTAATGGAGGCTGGGAAGCGCGACTCGACCTCGTCATTTCCACTCTGTTTTTGCTTCCCGAAGCGACAAGCTAGGGACGGAGTACCGACATGGCTTAAGGGCTGAGACGCTCACACAACACCCATGATGAATTCCACAGCTTCTGGGTAACGTAGTGCATTGTATTTAAGGACGACAAACAAAACAATAGAAGAGAGACAAAACACTACGAGAGAGAACTTAGTATTAAATGTTGCTATACTATACAGAGTATTTGATTTTAGACAAGTCTGAGGCGCTAGTTATGACCAAAGATGGATGAGTCCGATTTGTAGATGCCTAGAGGAATGTGTTATATTTTCAGCTCACGAAATGTTCAATGCAGAAGCTTGAGCCGTCTCATACATTCCCACAGAGGCAATCGTCGTTTCACACGCGTAATTATTTCAAAACAAGCCAGAGCATCATGTGATAAGCCCCCACACAGAGGCTAGACAGAACTACACCAACATACCTTCTAGATTAGGAAGCTAATATCTAGTGACGTGCGTCTTATTAACTCTCAGAGGAACTCATCAGATAGGCTGCAGACATTATAGGACTTACTGCAGAACGAAAACATATACATCTAGTTTCACAAATATGCTCTAGTTACTATGAAGGTAATAAATCGAAGCCAGAAGCTTTTGTCCGCATTCCTGAATTAGTTTTTTGGCTAAAAAATCTCATTCTAGGTCATCTGTTTGAGCTGGGTCCATTAATGCTGTGCTGTCCATCTGCAACACAGAATGAATGCTGAGACTTTCCCATGAAAGGTTCAGGCATCGTGTCCCTTTTTTCTAATATCTCTATTAGTTAGCTTTTGTCTCTTCATTGTATGAGAACGAGTCTCGCTCGCTATAGATGCGCGAGCTTTGTTAAGACCGACTGGAGACAGTGGTCCGCCTACCGGATCCATCGCTACGCAAGTTTCCACACATCTTCGCGGGCCATATACTCCATTACTCCGATACTCTAGCTTCAGCTGCAAAGGAACCCGAAGAGTTACTGGACTACAGTGCGCCCGCGCCAAACACATCAGCGTCCCGGCTAGTTTTTTGGTGATGTTTTTAGTAGAGAAGAGGGGTTTCACTGTGTATACCAGGAGCTCATACCACAATTCTGTACTGACCACTCGTCTGATCCGCACTGCCGTCTCGGCCCTTAATCAAATTACCAAAGGTCTAAGGCGAGATTACAGGCTTAGCCAAGAATACCGCACCACATGAAGAGAATGAGATCTTCAGGATAACAAGCGGAAGCATCTCTACAAATGCGCCGCATCGAACTTTAACGCCGCCTAGCTTCTGTGAGAGCGAAATCAGTGTCAATCGACTGGGCTTTAAACTCAGGCTCTGCCTCTAAAAGCTGATGGAATTGCTCACCGCGGTTCGAAACAGTGGGAGAAGGGCTGAGGCATGGGGGGCAGAGAAGACACACCAGATACCATGGCCGGTTAAGCACACCAACACGTTTCCTTTTGTCGCCTTTCTGGCGACATGGCGTCAACCTATTTTACCCCACAGATCCGACTCACACATTCTGAACACAACAGCATCAGGGTCTCTCCACTGACCCTAGAGGCCCTCGTGGAAAGAACTCGTAGTTATGCCCGACCGAGGTCAGTCAGCAAAGATGAAAAAAACAAGATGAGGCTGAAATCTGTATGGGAGCTTGAACTTGTTTGATGCTGAATAGGAAAGAACACAAAAGATCCAAGGATAATAGATGGCATCAGGAGTTAACTGCCCAGACAGTGGGGTCCAGAAAGCCAAGTACCCAGAGGTTTCAGTCAGCACTCTTAAGTTCCTTGCTATATTCGTAAGCAGCCCAAACTGGCTGAAAGCCCAGGTTTCGTCTCGCGAAGGTAGATTCAGATCCTCCTGTATAGTATGTAACAGCGAGACAGTCTTTAAGGGGCATTTCTGAGTGTTATATGTATTTTTTTAACTACCACAGCTCACAACACAATATTGCTTCTACGAATCTGAAACGACCTAGGAACAAATAATATCATCGCTCAATGAACACTATTCACCAATACACCAGACATCAACCAAGAGTAACGTAAGCTTTGTGAAATACGAAAGCTTTGCAATGATTTCTTTTAGCTCTTTCCAGGTATCTCAACTCCTGGTAACTTAACACCCATCTGAAACACACTGTTTAACACTTGACTCCCGGGACACGTGGCTCACGCCTCCTCAGATATGTGACTGATTTCCACGTTGCCTGCAGGTTGGCGCCAACCCCCCTTCCTGCCAGAGGGCCTTCCTGCTACTGTGCCACTGCTTCTGACCCTGGATGCCTGTCTGGAGCGCCCCTCTGACATGCTTTGAGTGGAGCCAACAGGGAGCTGCGCCCGCATCCGTCTCCTGGCACCTCACGATGCTATTGGGAAATTCATATGAGACGCGCCAGGGACCCTTGGTGGGACACTATGGCCCAACCATGCTGCGAAACGTTCGCTACGACGCGTACCCGAGCTACTCCTGGGGAGACAGTTAGACGAACACTTTGGTTCCATAAAATTCGCTGGGCTGTCCGGCAGCGCGGTGCTGCGGTTGCCTGTAATGTGTGGGGTAGCGCCTCAGCAAGCTACATCGGCAACTGGAGTGGCGAAAGAGCCAAAGCATGGCTGTCGCAGGGCGACTGGCCTACCGCTAGTTCTCCCTCCCCTGCGAGGAGGAGATCTTCGCAGCACTTGAGAGAGTATACCAGGAATAGTGAGGCGACTGTGCCTTCAGGCTGGCGGCACGAAGGGACAATCGGGTGCCAAGCCTACCAGCTTGCACCTACAACACGGACCTTCCAGCCCTGGTGTAAGCCATACTGCAGAGGCCCACACCTCCTATTCACCCCTACAATAAGGTCGTTTCGCGCTGGTCCTACGCGGCCTGGCTGCACACCATCTTTTCCTGACAGTTCTGGACTTATCTGACCCAGGCCCTTACCGCCAGTTCCCACCATGTCACTGGCCACGTGAACTCGCTTGCGCTCTCTCAGAAGAACAATCAAAGAATACACTTCATTCTGTTAACCAGTAAGGATACCATCATAGTTTCCTGTTCCCAGGATTCTTGTAGAGAGTCAGCGGTGATGATGTATAATATGGCACATTGGACTTGTCTAATCTGGTCAACTACAGAATTCTGCTCCCAGATGTAATCAGGACGTATACATAATGTCAGCTGAGGTCTCACTTGGTTTAGAGCTATTTAACTGTGGGAAGAACAAACTCACAATGACGCAATAAAAATATGAGCCCTACAGTGCGTATCATGTTACTGCCACGATTCTATCTTTTTTCTAGACAACAGCAGAATCTAGTATGAGAGTCGAAACACGCGGAAGTCTTCCTGATCGAGATTCATCTTTCCGTTTACTTTGGGAAACCCGCCTTCAGACCAGGGCCAGAAAGAAAAGCCACGCTTTCCGGCCAGCGCGCGTTGCTCACGTCTGTAACTCCCAGCCCCTTGGAGCGAGGCGGGCGGTCGGTCGGAGATCGAGACCATCCTGGCTAAACACGGTGAAACCCTGTCTCTACTAAATGCCAAAAAAAAATAGCCAGGTGCGGTGGCGCGCGCGCTGTAGTCCCCAGCTACTCAGGAGGCTGAGGCGAGAATGGCATGTGATCCCCGGGAGCCGCGGAGCTTGCAGTGAGCTGACGATAGGCCACTGCACCTCAGCCCGTGGACAGAGCAGACTCTGTCTCAACACAAAAAACAAAAAAAGGAAGCCACTTTCCTTCAGGCTTCATTTTGAGGCGTCACCTGAAACGGTCACGTCATGGCGGCTGAAGGTGCCCCCATGTCTGTTTGGCTTCCGTGCACTCTAAAGGTTTATTGTTTGAATAGTCAGGGCCATGAGGAAGAAGCAGCGTGACACGATGTCCTTTGGGTACCTTCTCCCAGGTGGCGAGGGAAAAAGGCTGCTCAAAGGTTGTCCTGCGTCATTTCCTGGGGTCTGCTCCCTCTTCGTGACTGGTGTTGGGAGGCACACTTTGCTGCCTCAAGTCTGCCTCTAGCGCCTAGCAGTTGAAGTGTGCGTGGGACGTCCAGGTCATTGGCTGCGCCGCCTGGCTCCGGGTCTGGCACTCCAGGGTACCCAAACCCTACCTGCCCTGAATGCCTAAGATGCTTGCTCCAGCAGGGTGTGGGAAACAACATGATGATGAGTATAATAATAATAGTGAATATTCACTAAGGCTGTACGCAGCTCACACACCCATAGTTCATTGTCTGCTCGTATTAATCCTGGTAGTCAGTTCAGTGAGTC